GAGACACAGACACAGAATCTAAAGCAGGCTCCAGGCTCTGAGCTGTCAGCACAGAGTCTGATATGGGGCTTGAACCCACGAACTGCGAGATCATGACCCGAGCTGAAGTCAGATACTTAACCAACTGAGCCACCCAGGTGCCCCTAATTTTAACTAATTTAAATTTAAATAGCTACATGTGGTTAGTGGCTACTGCCCTGACAGTGCAGTCTAAATACCAGGGACCCTTTGAGTGAATGAGATGCTGTGAGTCAAATTTATGTGTGCCAGCCTAGCAGCTGGTGCCGAGGGCAGGGTGGATCTCTGGGGGAGGGATAGTGCATGCTATGGGGACCTCCGGGAGGCTATAAGGAACCAGCTCAGACAAGAGCCTCTGTGAATTCCATAAGTATGTGCTACATATAGGGGATTCAGTAGTAAAGACAGACAGGGACCCCTCCATCCCAGAACTCACCACCTATATGGGGAAACAAGCAAGCACAATATGGGGTGCACGATTGGGGCTGTGAAGAGGGAAGTCAGGGGAGGTGCCTGACCCTGCTTAGGTGGAGAGGATCAGGGAAGGCTTCTAGGAGGAGGTGAGGTCTACACCAAAACAAAGGTTGAGCAGAGGGGTGAGCCAGGTAAAGCGGGCAAGGGAAAAAGGATGTTTCCAGCAGAAGAAACAGCAGGAACAAGAGTCTGGAAGTGGAGGGTGAAATGGTCAGTCTGGAGAACTGCAAGAAGTCCTGAGTGGGAGAGCACAGGAAGCAAAGCAAAGAGGATGTGGCAGAGAAAGGCTCACAGAGCCTCGTGGGCCACGCTGAGGGCAGACAGGAGCCACAACAGGTGTCTAAGCAGTAGAGTGAGCTGAGGAGGACTGCATTATGAAAGATCCCTCTGGGTGCCACCGTGGAGGGTGTGGAAGGTGGCTAGGCATGACAGGTGTCAGAGATCCGGGCTGGGCAGCAGTAGCACTGGGGAGGTGGGCACCTCACCTGCCTGGTCCTGCTCCCCGTACCATGTGTTCCAGTTGCCCACGAGTGAGCAGGGGTAGTCCTCATCCAGGTGCAGCTTGGGCAGCACAGCTTCCCTGGGGTGGAGGGGAGGGGGACAGAGAGAGGGAGGAGGGCTCACATCAGCCACCAGGGTCCCTGAGATAAGGGTTCCAACTCAGGCCCTCAGGGCTGAGCCTGAGTGCCCCCATCTCTAAGATGCAGAGGCTGGACAATATATTTTTAGGACTTCTGGCTCTGACATCTACATCTCCTAGATCTCTGCAGGGAGAATGGGGCTGGGATGGAGTCTCCAACCCAAGCAGGGAGGGATGAGCAGATGGAGGAGGATGCTCACGTCAGGCTGTTGTAGGCATCCAGACACTCAGGCTTCACATTGTGAACTGCAACAGAGGACAGAAAATGGAAGGTGAAGCAGGGTGTGTGTGTGTCTGTGGGGAACTGGGGTGGGGGGACGTCCCACAGGGCCAGGGCTCCCAGGATAGCTCAGGATGTCCCAGCCCCTCTCCTGTCCCAGCTGAAGCCTTGTGGGCCCCCAGAGGCCCCAGGAGGGCTGGCGGGCTGGCTCAGCAGCCACTCACACTGGATCTTGTAGAGGTTGCTTGTTTCCTTCTTGGACAGCAGGGTGGAGTGGGCATCCTTCCGGGGATCCACCTTGTGCACAAAGAGGGAGCGGAACCAGCTACCTTCATTGTCCTTGGAATAGAAGCTGCAGGACAGAGGAGTTCAGGGGGACAAGCGGGGGGGGGGGGGGGGGGGGAGCCCTGGCTTTTCCATCGGCTCCGATATCCTGTTCCCCCATCCCTCAGATGTCCTGAGGAACCCATATTTCTAGGAATGGAGCCAAAGAATCCAGTGGCAGACCCAGAGTTTAAAATGTCACTGGAGTCAGCTGAGCAGACCTGGTCCCTTTTACAGAGGTCATGGCTACCCACTTTGCTTCTTAAAGTTTTGCAAGGCCTCAGGAGGCCAGGGGAAGAGCCCCATCTCCCACCTCTCTCCTCCCTCCCTCCACTTTTCCCTTTCCAAGAGGTTCCTTGGGGCACACATCTGCAGCCTCTTGCCAAGAAGATCAACCCTAAAACCACCTTGCCTGATGTCCAAAACCTGACAGTGCAATGTATCTTACCAGCCTTCCTTGCTGTCCCCTCCCTCCAACCCGTGTACTCCACTCTCCAGATGTGCTCCTCCCTGAACATACCAGGCTCTTTTACTCAGTGCTTTCTTGGCAATTTCTGTCCCCTCTGACAGAAGGTTACACTCATTGTGGTCCCCAGTGCCCAAACTACACTTGGCCTGTGTCTCTTCCCAGTCCCCATAAATGGAGAGCCAAAGAAAAATAAGCTTTGTCCTTGAAGAAGTCACAGTCCACTGGAAAAAACAGGCTTTGGAACATAATTATAGCCAGAGGTATCTGGGAGAGCCTAGGTGAGCAAGCCTCTGGCAGTCTGGGCAAACCCTCCAGAGGAGGTGATCTGACCAATCTCTGAATCTCCAGGGCTGATTTGGCAGATAACAGCAGATAGGGTAAAAAGGCATTGCAAGGCAAGACTCATTCATTCATCCAGGCAACATTTAATTGACATTATCCACCCAGTGTGCTTGGCTAAGGTGCCTTGAAAAATGAACAAAGGAATGAAGTACTCTGTTCAGAGCAGGGGACCTGCCACCTGGTCCTGCCCTACCCTAACTATACTTCCCACACAAGGTCCCAGCAGGGGCGGGCTTTTTTTTTTTTTTTTTTTTTTTTAAGGTGGCCAGAGGCTATAAATCTTTTTGCTTAATAGCAGTGGTACAACTTGTAGTCAGGCCTGAAAAGCAATTCTCATGTTGGATGATTTCTAGCCAGAGAGCCTGGCCCTTAAGTGCCAGCAAGTGTACTTTTTCGATCTTTTTCTGTGGCTAGAATAAATGTCTTGGCAAATCAAAGTATTATTTTTTTCCAAAATATGGAGCAGCCACTGAGACTGATGAAATTAAAAAAGCATCTTAAAGTAGTAAACCATTTATATGAACACAGAGAAAGATGAATGAGGATTTGTCCCAAACCAAATACTGCTTACGTGGGAGAGGGGAGAAGATGCTTAAATTTTTCTTTACTCACTAAAGCTTTTTGGAAAGCTAAAAAAATAAAATTGTTTAAAGTGTTTCTGAATTCACAGGCTTTCTGTCATTGTGCATGTATTTGTTTCATTAACAAAGAACAAAAAAGATGATTATCATCGGGGCGCCTGGGTAGCTCAGTCGGTTGAGTGCCCAACTCTTGATTTCAGCTCAGGTCATGATCTCATCTCATGGTTGTGAGATGGAGCCCCATGTTCAGTTCTGCGCTGAGAGTGGAGCCTGATTCAGATCTCTCTCCCTCTCTCTGCGCCCCACCCCCCCCTGCTTGTGCGTGCACTCTCAAAATAAATAAACGTTAAAAAAAAAAAAAGACAATTATCATCAGATGGGCAGTGTGGTTCTATGAAATTTGGGGACCAGAATATAGCTTCGCTATAGATACTTTAGCTGAGGACATCGTCTGTGTCAGGGATCTGTGATCAACTTGTCAGAAGCATGATCCTGCTGCATCTACGTAATGTTGACATAGGGTTGATACTATTAGGGTCCCCATTTTTGAGATGTGAAAATAGTCAGGGGGTTAAGGAACTTGCCCAAGGTCATATGGTAAATCAGGGGCAGAGCTGAGGCAAGACGAAACCCAGAACTCTTTCCTCCAAAGTTGGCTCCCACCTCCAGTTTGAGCACTGACTTGGGGAGCATCAGGCAGATACTGTGAAGAACCAGGTGTTTCAACAAAGCCACTGGCAGAGAGATCCGACCTTTGATTTGAATATAGAGGGGATGCTTCCCTTGGAAGGGGTGGTGGCAGGGAAAACAATGGCTCCTACTCACTGTCAACCAAGACCTTTGCTCCAGGACTGGGCTTTGAGTAATTTATTAACAACAGTACTGACCAAGATAAACAGCCAGGAGGTCAGCCCTTGGAGACAGAGCCTGGGGGCTAGAATGCTCTTCACTCCAGGGGAATGGCAGGGGAATCCAGGAGCTCTGATGGGCTCCCATCTCTTCCCACAACTCTCTCATCTTTTATGCCTATGGACCTCAGTTTCCCCGTGTGTCAAATGAGCAGGCTAAAGCAACCTATCTCTAAAGATCTTTTCTCAGGCAAAACCCAAGATGGGACCTGTCCAAGATCCCAGGACAGGGTCTGAACTCCAAGCCAGTGTCCATAGGTTCACATTTTCAAGAATTCAAATTTCATTTTCTCAGTGAAATCATAACATTCTCCTGCCCCTGAACTCCCCGACCCCTCTCACCCTGCTGTTTCTGTAGCTCCTTCTATCCCATTATACTTTTTTCCCCCTTATTATATGCCTTGTTTGTTGTCTGCTCCAGTAGAAGCAGCCCCAGATGGACAGGGATCTTATCTGTCCCTTGTATTCCCACTGCCTGGAATGGTGCTGGGCACCTGGCACGTGCTCAGTCTGTGTCTGGGAAACAAATGAAGGAGTGAGGGGACACTAAGACAGAGCCGCTTGAAGATGATGAAAGTTGGAAGGAAATAAATTAAAGGAAGGGTGGTTCAGAGTGTGGACACAGGGCTCAGGGTCCCTTTCCCTCCCCACCACCACCAGCAGAATTAGTGCTTAAGAGCACAGGTTCTGGATGAATCCAGGTTCTAATCTCAGCTCAGCTTCATCTCTTTGAGCTTTATATTCCTCATCTGTAAAATAGGGGCCTTAGGATGGATCTTTTAGAGAAAGGGCCTGACAAGATA